CTGAGGTCCAAAAAGGTGATGTACAAAGTTTAGACGGGGGTGGGGTGCAGTGGGACGAGTGTAAAAAATGAGGGGAGACTTGGAAGTCTTGTTATAAAGGGCACGATCAGTTTAGTCCTAATTGTCCCCAAGGCAGGTAGGTAGGAGAGGTTGTGAGTGTTGAGGGGAGGGAGGGATTGGTAGGTGGCGATTTTGCCAAAATTGGACAAAATTTTGTGCTAGGTTCCTATCTGACTCTTTTTTTAAAAAAAAATGATTTTATTATTAGTTTCAAGTATATAGTACATCGGTGAGACATTTATATAATTTATAAAACGACCCCCCTAATTGCTCTTTCTCCTCTGGCTCTCCACCTAGCCATTACATTACTGCTAACTGCATTCCCTATGCCGTGCTCCCCATCCCCGTGACCATCCATCAACTACTAATTTGTACTTTTTAACCCTTCACCCCCTTCTCTGATCCCCTACAACCTCCCTCCCTCCATCTGATTCCTTTTGATGGTAGCATGAACTCCTACAAGGAATAGCTCCTGTTCCTTGACACTTTCTATCACTGCTCCTGGCAACACTTGTCGATTTCAACATCCATAAAGATGACATTTCCAACACTTTCCAGGCTTAGTGCACAGGAAGCTGCTCTCTGCTTCCAGTGGTAGCCTGCAGAGGGCATCTGCTCAGAGGGCTCAAGCTTCTTATTCCCTGACATCTGCTGAAAGAGATTTCTGGGCAGGGAAAGGGGCAGTGTTGCCCTAATTCCAACTAATTTGTCATCCACTCTTGAATCGTACTTAGAGCTTCATTTCTTATGCTGGTGAGACATGTACTAAAACACTTATGGAAAAAAAAAAAGTCTTTGGACCAGAAATATCTGATGACTCAATAGCTGGGATATGGTGCTACTGCAAAAAGGCAAAGATGCTCGCTGACTGCTGTCTGAGAGAAGTCAGGCACAGAATACATATCCCAAATTAAATATTTCCCCAACTGCCAATTCCGATGGCTGCAATGTCATTGTTAGAGAATCGTGGAATTTCCACGAGACCTTAAGGATAAAGCAACATGTTGTAGCAGAATGAGTGTGAGGTTTGACATCTCACTGGTTTCTGTATAAATCCCAGCTTGGAGCCTCATCAGCTGTGTTGTGTCCATTACTTGTTCTCGCTTCCTAACCTCTTGGTAGGGCAAGTCTCTGTTGGGTGGAGACGTGTGCCAAGCTCTCACTTCTGCTAAGGGCACACATGGAAATAGTCACTTGGTTGATTTAGTATACTAGGAGCGACTTACTACATAAAACAGAAAACCGAAGAGGTTATCCAATGGGAAGAAGGTGTATGCAGACATCTGCAAAACAAGGCATATAAGTTTGTACCTAAACTTGAAGCCTCACAAGTATGCTTGTTGTCTCCACCACCTTCAATTCATAGTGCTGCTTTGTGAGGTAGTCACTCCCTATCTTGAAAATATTCGAGTAAAGACCGCTTATGAGAAACACTGTAGAGATAATGTACCTGTAAGATCTCTTTCACTTACAGGTTCTATAATTCCATGGACTTATATAGAATACTTGGACAGAATAAAGTCTGGGCAAAATTATAAAGTAGGAAAATCTATATTTAGTGTTTTCCCCCAAGATATGCAGTCCCTCTAATTGCCTTCTGCCCGTTCACTTATCTCCACTCACACAGACACACACACACACACAGGTGCCCTCACTTGAAAGTGACCCATACTGTGACCTTATGAGCCCCTCACCATCCCACATCCAAAGTCCCAACTCTCAGCTGAAAGGCCGTTTCCCAGAGTCAGCAGTTAGGAACACAGGCTTTGGCAACTCATCGATCTGGGTTATTTGACCTTTCCAACTTTTGTTTTTCCTTTGGTAAAAGAGGGAGAAGAGACTCTTGACAGTGGTAGAGTTGAGACCAGATAAAGTTAAGTGTGTAAAGTGTTTGATATTGTGCCTGGTGCACAATAAGCATTCAATAAATAGTAACTATTAGTTATTGCCTTGTTTTTATGAACATTGTTGTTTTGTTGCTCTTCATATTTTCTTGCTGCCGTTGTTTTTGCTGTTGGTGATTTCCTCTTGATATGCTAGGATGCTCATATCTTCCCAGCCCCTGAAGGGATGCACGTGGTAACAATTATGCACTGCTTAGCCCAGGAGAGATTCTCTCTAGCACTAGGAAAAGAGAGAGGGCAGCTGGTGCTTGAGAGTAAATTTGGGGGTCCTTTAGCCCCTCTCAAAAACCATACAGAAGAGGCAGAAGACTTATATTCTAGGGACGAAAGTGACCTGGGAATAGGTAGGCTGCTTCCAAGTCTGTAGTTATTTCTGATTGCCCAGTACATGACCCCCTTTTTTTTTTCGGTGCTAATTATGGGTATGGAAGACTTAAGTGTTTTATTTCTATAAATCAAGGGTCAAAGGAATAAATATGGTGACGAAAAGACAAGAAATATTCCTAAATCATATATATGAGAAAAACCTTAAGCAAGCATTAGGTAGTGGTCTATTAGAGGATGTTGCATTCTACAAGCATATAGCATGATCATATATTTACAATTCATTATTTCTTACCTGGGTTGACTGTGGAAAGTAATGATCTCCTCTTTTGGCTCCATACTGCTTGCTCCGTAGTCACTGCCTCTGGTTTTCCAGAATGAAGAGTCCAAAGTTGTCCAGAAATAACATTTATTAATCAACAATAAAACACGCAATAGAAAAGGCCTTATAAATAAAACTATATATTTATAATGCTTTATTTTTTTTTTGCTTCAGTACTCCACAAAACACTACAGACAGTAACAAAATAATTCAATAAATATTAAAAACTTTCAAGAGAATAATAAGACACTCTTTATCATATGTGAGCATCAACAATCCCACAGCCATTAGATACACTATTAAACACTATCATAGATATCTTTCTTAAATAAGGAATATAATTACTTTTTTTTATCCAGAAGTCATAACATTTACACAGATCAATACACAAGAGAACAACTCAGAGTAAGTGAAGCAGACATCCCAGTGAAATGGAATCATCTGCCTGTATATCATGTAAAGATATTACAGTGTTAACGGGATAGAAGTCAACACACTAAAGAGAACTGTTGGGGTGTCCTGGGGGTGGGAGGAGTGAAAGTAGGGCATTTAATGAAGCTGCTTACATATTTTCCATTGCTCTCTTAGCAATATGCTCCCTTCCCTTTTCTGCCTTTTCTTGGTTGAGGTATTCCAGCACTTTCATTAACAGATCTTCATCCAAGTACTGTCTGTTTGGGGTATCATCATTCTTCGGGGCCCCCACAGGGAGCCTTTTGCTTACCGAGGCCAGTTTGTCAGTCTCTGGAGAGCTGCCTTGATTTAAATGCTCTTTGATGGCCTGCTCGATTTGGTTCTCCTCCTGTAGGTCATCTTCAGATGAGACTGGGCCGAGAACTCGCTTCATCTGGTTTGAATTAATGATCTCAGGGTATTTAACTAGCATCCTGGCCAGGTACTCTCCTAAGTCTTGATCCTTGTCATTCAGGTTTTCATATGCCATTTGCCTGTTTTCAACATCTGGCATCCAGGTACCTTTTGAAAGTTGATTTGCTTTAGATCTTCCAGGACCATAAGGGAGTCTCGGCAGAACCTTCTCTCGGTTATACTGACCAGGAAAATATGGAAGCTTTTGATTGGCATCACTCTCCATCCCTAAAAGATTTAAAACGTCCTCAACACTGAGTCCATCTGGTAGGGCCTCTATCACAGCACGAACAGGTGTTTTAGGGTAGCCATTCTTGGAAAGCATCTTATTTTGGAACATACCTGGATGGTCTAAGTCAACCTCTGAGATATCATCTAGGTCGATGGGAAGTTCAAGCTCCTGCTCTGGTTCCACTGATCCATTTGGCTTCTCTCCAGTTTTGAGCATGTCGATTAAGTCTTCAGGGGGTATCTGTAAATTCCTTGAAATTTCAATCAGCTGATAAATAGACTGAGAATCAAGTGGTTTCTCAAAAAGCCTGGTTGCTCTTTCCCCGTTTTGCCCATTCTGTGACCTCCCACTTCCTGCAGCATTCACTAACCTTTTCAGATAGGCAATTACTTTGGAGACATCATCTGAGAGTTGATCTTTACTCTCTTTCCGGAGATCTTCATCCTGGAGGCCCAGCTGCCCTGAACGCTTCATTTCGTCATTGATTTGTTCATTTTTTTCTGTATTCTCTTTGCTGTCCCTTACCTCTTCCTGGGTCTGACTTTCTATTTTTTCCTCTACTGGGTTCCAATCTTCTCCCCCAACTACATCTTCATAGGCAATGTTGTTGGCCTTATAGATGTCATCTTCATCATCTGTGTAAAGTTTTTGCTCCTCGTCAACCCTCTCACGCTTCTGGTTGTTTGATCCCGTCAGTTTCCCCAGCTCTTGGAAGACAGACTCCAATGTAGCAAGACTTTGAGGAGTGTATTGTTCCTCCACGATTTCATTTGTGCGTTTGAAGGGGTTGTCCCTGGAATTCTCTTCATACATAGGAGGGAATCGCATGTGCTTGAGTTTTCTCTCGGGCCACTGTTGAGTCTCATAATCAGCTGGCATGTCAATTGGAAAGTTCTCTGAATTCAAGGCATAAGCTTTGTTTTCTTTCAGTGCAGACTGAGGCTCGTTTTCAGCCTGTCTCAAAGCTTCAAGTATTATCCTCATCCACTCATCTTCACTCAGGGAATCCCTTGAACTTTCTGGCAAGTGACTTTCATCACCATTTTCTTTTTGCTGAAGGGGAACAGAGACACCTTGGTAGGAATTATAGTCTGGGCTGCTTTCTTCTTTGCGAGCTTGTTGTCGGAGCTTTTCTATATACTCCAAAGCCCTAATCATTTCAGGACTGGGAAACCTTTGGACATTTTCCAATCTGAGGTCTGGTTCCTTCTGAAGTAGTTGGTTTCGATGAAATGAAGCTGCTTCAGCTCCAAAGATGAGGAAAATTAAAGGGATGAGAAACAGGGCTGCTCCAAGCTGATGACTCTTAGCTTCTGCCATGTTTGAAAGATTTCCTTAAAAATAGAAAACATGATTTAATACAAATGAAGCAGACTAGAAGAAACCATATCAAAAGAAGTAATTGACCATCAAGGGGCTGGGAATATAGCAGAGATTACTTCACGTTAAACTTAGGGTGACTCTTTTTAAATCCATAAGTATTTCCTACATGATCTTCACAAGCTAACCATAGGAATCTAGCAAAATTGTTACCTCTTGGCATCAAATTTGCATGGCATTCGCTTGGTTAAGATAATAACAAAAACACTAATACAAGGTTTCTCTAATTTTATTTTTTAATTTACAAAAACATGTAGTTTGCTTTCAGTATGCATTGTTTCCATTTAATAAAGACTTTCAAAAAATGAGTTTTAATTATCTTCTGTAGCATTCCTATTGAAATCACTGGGAAGATTAGTTGGCTGAATTTAAAACATGCATAGGGTGGGAGGGGGGAGAGAGAGAGAGAGAGAGAGAGAGAAAGAGAGAGAGAGAGAG